GCTGAGCACGGTGCCGATGGAGATCAGGATGGGGTAGGTCAGCACCACCCCAACATTAACCAGGATATTGAAAGCTGGAGAAGAACAGAGAAAATAATACATAAAAATGGGGGAAAACACCAGAGTGAGACTTTTCTCCTCCACCTTGACTCTACAGTATGTAGATATTAATATGTGATATTTATATGAATTATTTTATTATTTATATTTATATTAATATGTGATATTAATATGTGATATTTAGTATCCACACCACAATGAGGGAGTTGTCACAAAGTAATTGATTTTTAATCTTTAATACTGAGGTTGTCATATTCCATGGCTTTGCACAGGCTTTAATCAGGTACAAAAAAACTGGTCTTTTGTTGTTTGGGGTTTGGGGTTTTTTTGTTACATGACAGCACCCCCAGAGAGCTCCGATTTCTATGAAAGATTTAAAAAACCCTTAAAGTTTGCTTAAGTTTCTTTAACCTTTCCTTGAAAGATTAAAAGCAAACTTAAGACTTTGATCACCCACTACCCAGTCCTGCTGCTGAGTCCCCTGCATAAGGCTGGGTTTATACACTTGGGTGACAAATTATCCCTAATTTTGGTCCCCTAGGAGCTCTCAGGGCAGCTGCAGTTGTGGCTGCAGCAGATGAAGGTGCTCACAGCAGCTCAGGATGGGATGGGCAATGACATTTCTCTTTGCTTCCATTTAATAAATGTGTAGTGAGACAAAAACCTCTTCAATTATGGAATAAAACAGACTTTACCAAAGGAAAGGATCTTGTTATATGTGGAAATTAAAATGCCCTGGGGCTGAATCCAACAGATATTTTGTTGGCAATTCTGGCTCAGAAAGAGGGAGCCTTATGTGAGCCCTGCCCAGAGCCTGCAGCACCCCCAGGAAGGTGTGGGGGTGCCCCTGTCAGTGCACAAACATCCCCCAGGAGCTGCCTGGGAACATGCAGCCCTTTGAAATGGGATTTACAGCAGCCAAGCTGTGCCAGAAACAGGGGCATTGGTGTGGACCTACAGTAGGGATGAAAAAATAGGCAATTAGTAGTGCTGCTTCATGTTTACTCCCTGCTATTATGGTTAATTATTAATTATTATTAATTATAACTGTGCTTACATATCAATTATTAATTGTATATAAATTAATAGCAATGTTTCATGAAGTGTAATGAGAAATATGAATCATTTCTAAGGAGCACCAGTTTGCACCAGGACCAGAATTAATCTGTGAGAGAGCTCTGCTGCTTAAGGGGATGGGGGAAATTAATTTTGCCTGAGGCTACATTGATACAGGGTAGGAGAGGTGAAGCCCCCAGAATTTTTTTTAATTAGAAAACTAAATTATTTTATTAATATAAATTAATTAAATATTAAATTAAATATTACATTAATATTAAATAATTCTATTATTATAGAAAATATTGTTTTAATTTTTTTAAATTATAAACATATTTTTTTTTATCACATACCTAACCAGAGGCCAGCTACTCCACACAGGTAACCCCACGGCACAGCAGAGAAGGGGTACCAGTACTCCACCTTTGTGAAGTAGAGGATGATGGGGGTGATGGAGATGAAGATGAAGTTGAAGAAGCCCAGGGTGGACACAAAATGAGCTGCTTCCCCGAAGTTTGCACTCCCAAGAAACATTTTGAACAAAACCTGGAGAGAAGAGGAGAGAGGAGGGGTTTAGACTCCATGCCTGCCATGGAAGCACTCCACTGGGGAGAGTGGAGCGAAGGACAACATGCCACAGCCCAGCC